TTCAGATAGGGTGACTAAAGCCCTACCTTGGCACTTATATTTCAAATTATTATTGCAAAAATAATTTGTTGTAAGTGAATAGAGATCCCCTATAAGTACCTGCCATTTTTCAGGCTTTGAAAGAAGCTTGCAAAAAACTTGCTGCTGGTTTAATGAATCATCTCATTAAAATGAATGGGGCTTAAATTCATTCATTAAAGTTATTGTAACTTTTTTTGTTCAGGCTCACTTGGAAGGCTTCAATTCTCTTTAATGAACAGCAGACAGGCTCGTGCTTATGCAGGATTTTTCAAATTGTTGTCAGACGTGCACAGTCCTAAGGGGCAGTTTTCAGCGATGCACAAGGGATAGTGAGTATGGCCACAATAGCACCTCCTCTCTCTATTACTGTCCCTAGATTGAAGGCAAATATCTGTAATAAAGGAATCTCTTTAGAGCTAGGCATGGATAGGAATGGTATTATGATCAAATAGATATCAGGATGATTTTTCATTAAAAGGCAAGCTTTCCCTTTCCAACTATTAGCAAAAGCAACAAAAATATAACCTTTTCTACTTAAGGATTGTAATGGGGTAAGTAGAGTGGACTGTTGTCTTGAATTAAATTCTTGATCTCAGGATTTTGAGGTATCTAGTTCTGAAAATTGAGTTTAGAAAGTTCTTCCAGGTTTCCAGTATCTTAAAAGTCAGGGTTCTAAGTGACATGTTTTTTCTTACTGTACACATTCATTGTCAGCATAAGAATGATGAAGAGTAATGGTGGTCAACTTATGTTGCCCTCCGAGTCCAACCCTACTTTATTTCGGTTTCTTCGCAAATAGTTCAATAAACCAATTTCTGAAGCAAATATAAATTTCTCTCTTCATCCCACTTTTTCTTTTCTCTTGCTTATAAAACTTGTATAAATCACTGAATGTCTGAAATCTGAGCATATGGCATTCACGGCAGGCCGGAAAATTAGGTGCCAGCCCACATTTTTTGATTTTTCCAGGTTAATTTATCTTACACATCCAGCTATGGATTAATGGCTAGCTTGGTTTTCTTTAACATTGTTTTTAGAAAAATAAGGACCTTTACCGAAAATTCAGTTTATTCTGAGGACACTATGTTACCAACTAACTTCTATTATTACGCATTTTGGCTTTCATAGTACATCTAATAGTGCAGATGTGTCCACCACAGTGTTGCTGATGAAGGAAAAATAGTGCAGCTGGAGTGGACATTACCTAGAGAGAGATAAGCCCCCAAAACAGGTCCTCAACTCCTTCTCACATTTTCTTTCAACACATGAGTTGAATGCAGCAACAGAGTGACTGCAGCCACTAAATAAAGTAATAAAACAATTAGAACATTAATAAAGCAGTAAAACCATCAGCAACCAAGCAACAATATAGCATTCAACAGCCAAAGGGCAATAAAGCAATAAAGCCTTCTGCAATAAAACAGTAACAACAACATTCATATATCAGTCAGGAAGAAATCTCAGATTGAGACAAAAAAAAATAGTGTTATATAATACTAGTAAAATAGGTGCCAGATGAATGCTCTGGACTGGAGAGACCATTCAGCCATCAGGTGCCACCAGTGAAAAGGCCTTATCTCTAGCTGCTATCCATCTAACCTCCAAAAGTTGGATCTCTCAAAGATTTCCTGCTGTTAATAACTGTCTGGTTTCTTTGCAAGAATTCCCATTGATTTTGTTAGATATGGATTCAGATTTAAAAGAGAAACTCAAATCTGAAAGTATATTTTTGCTTGGTGGTCTTTATGGGCATTTTCTATCAGAAGAGCAGAACTATTCCACTATATATTTCATACCTGTTCAGCATTGTTACTGTTATTTTCTCTGGGCCAAATGAATAGGGGAACCAGGAAACCAGGAAAGCAACAAGGCCAATAAAATGAACAAGAATAGAATAGAAATAGAAATAGAAATAGGAATAGGAATAGGAATAGGAATAGGAATAGGAATAGGAATAGAATAGAATAGAATAGAATAGAATAGAATAGAATAGAATAGAATAGAATAGAATAGAATAGAATTCTTTATTGGCCAAGTGTGATTGGACACACAAGGAATTTGTCTTGGAGCCTATGCTCTCAGTGTACATAAAAGACAAGATACATTCATCAAGAATCATAAGGTACAACACTTAATGATAGTCATAGGGTACAAATAAGCATCAAATCATATTAGGAAACAGTCAATAAAATCGTAAGGGTACAGCAACAAGATTACAGTCATACAGTCATAAGTGGGAGGAGATGGGTGATAGGAACGATGAGAAGATTAATAGTAATGCAGACTTAGTGAATAGTTTGACAGTGTTGAGGGAATTATTTGTTTAGCAGAGTGATGGCGTTTGGGAAAAAACTGTTCTTGTGTCTAGTAGTTCTGGTGTGCAGTGCTCTATAGCATCGTTTTGAGGGTAGGAGTTGAAACAGTTTATGTCCAGGATGCGAGGGGTCTGTAAATATTTTCACGCCCTCTTTTTGACTCGTGCAGTTTACAGGTCCTCAATGGAAGGCAGGTTGGTAGCAATTGTTTTTTCTGCAGTTCTAATTATTCTCTGAAGTCTGTGTCTGTCTTGTTGGGTTGCAGAACCAAACCAGACAATTATAAAGGTGCAAATGACAGACTCAATAATTCCTCTGTAGAACTGTATCAGCAGCTCCTTGGGCAGTTTGAGCTTTCTGAGTTGGCGCAGAAAGAACATTCTTTGTTATGCTTTTTTGATGATGTTTTTGATATTAAGTGTCCATTTTAGATCTTGAGATATTGTGGAACCTAGAAATTTGAAGATCTCTACTGTTGATACTCTGTTGTCTAGGTGGTAGTATGGGAGAGTCCCATGAGCTGAAGTCTAGACAATGAAAGTTGAGGCTTACATGCAAGTGACTTTATTAAGATAAAACTCACCAAGGATAAACAAAAAAATATGCCTGAAGCTGAGAAATAATGTGTAACTATCTTAAGTGTCCTGATAATTTTTGTGTCTTGATTCATGCTTAAAGCTTCCTACTGAGGTCATATATATCTCGCCAAGCACTTTTTTTTTCTTTTTTCCCTGAAGATACATAAATTAAAAGTGACACTAGATTATGTCAGCTAAATACTTGCTGGGTTTATTTTTGTTATGACCTTCTGGGATTAGAATTATGTTTTGTTAGAAGTTCTTGTGTTGGAAGGATATCAATTGTAAGTCTTGGATCATTGAGAAAATCACTAGTTCAGCAACCTGACCTTTCTCTTTTACGTTGCTTGATTAAAAGGCTCCAGGGTACAGCTGAAATGTACTGACCTGTACATTTTTAGGAGAAGAAGTGATGAGGTGATAGATTTTCCTATTTTCCAGGTTTGTGAGACTAGTGACAAAAGACTCTAACTTTTTAGTATGAATATTGATTTGTAAGATAGATGGCTATTGATTTAAGAATGAAACTCAAATATCTTGCGTTATCCAACCCTGAAAAAAAAATGGAAGAGTCTGTTTAAATACAAACTCTTTGTTTCAATATAAAGAATATGCTATTTAGCAAAGGATAAATCGTAACATTTGTTGTGAATCGGATACATACTAGTTGATATGAAGGGCTCCTTGGGGGTTTATAGCAGGTTAAAGAGTTCCAATTCATGCATCACTAGTCAATCTTGTACTTTTATTGAAATGTCAATATTCCTGTTTCTACCCCTTAGTCCCTAAAGAGCAAGTAAGCGTCCCAGTCTTATACAGCTCTTATATTATCCTTGTTTTCTGTCTGACATTTGCATTTAATGCTAGAAATGCATATAAATTTCTTATTTGTGTTCTAAATCAGGGGTGTCAAACTCGATTTCATTGAGGGCCGCATCAGGGTTGTGTTTGACCTTGGGGGGGGGAATGGGGGGGTGACATGGCGAGCTTGACGGCACTCATGTCGTGGGCATCTGTGATGGCCCAAATGTTCTGCCAGGTTTGTGAGCTCCATTTTTGGCTGGGACGGCTTCCTGCATCCCTCTGCCAGTGAAAAAGGAGCTCGGGATGGCTGCATGTGGCCCTCCCGAGCTCCATTTTTGCTGACAGAGGCACTGCAGGCCAGTCCTTTGCTATTTCCAAGGCAGCCCCATGGGCCAAATCTAAGCACCCTCGGGCCTTGAGTTTGACACACACACACCATTCTAAATAAACTCATCTCTGGAATGGATTTTTATTTTCTGGAGAAAAAATGACCAGTGTGGAAATCTGATTTACAAAGTAGACAATAAAAGTAAAACCAACTGGAAGTATACACAATTACACATCCTGCTGCTCTCTTCCTTCCTTCTCTCTAAGTCAACTGAAAAAAACAAGAAGCATTCCATGTGAAAAAGAAAACACTATAAATCGGAAAGGCTAAGTAGCAGGGGTGAAATCCAGCAGGTTCTGACAGGTTCTGGAGAACTGGTAGCGGAAATTTTGAGTAGTTTGGAGAACCAGCAAATACCACCTCTGCCTGGCCCCAGAGTGGGGTGAGAATGGAGATTTTGCAATATCCTTCCCCCAGGAGTGGGGAGGGAATGGGGATTTTGCAATATCCTTCCCCTGGAGTGGGGTGGGAATGGAGATTTTGCAGTATCCTTCCCCTGCCACGCCCACCAAGCCATGCCCATCAAGCCACACCATACCCACCAAACCATGCCCACAGAACTGGTAGTAAAACAAATTTGGATTTCACCACTGCTAAATAGGTGTATGCATGACACAAAAAGTTTCTCTAAATGGAGATCTGAAGATACCTCTCACAAACTTAACTCAGGTATAATTTCTGAAACCTGACAAACCTGTCTGAAAATCTTCCATATTATTTTGGTATACAGCCTTGTAAAGTGTAAATGTTGACGATCCTATTAGGATAAATGAACAAGCAATTCATAAATCCCTTTGATTTCCAATGGGATAAATTAAATTCTGCATTACTATTACTATGAAACAATAGGCTGATTAAAAAAAAAAAAACCTCAAGGAAATCAGATAATCCAATATAGACTACTATATTTCAAATTTAGTCAAAGAATTCCAGTAAGCTTTTCAGATTTTTATGAATTTACGAGCAAGGTGTTCAATAACTTTCAGAGAGTTTCATATCACAATTTATCACACAGAGTAAAAGGATTGTTTTTCTCAGTTCATAATTACAGGACAAACTTCTCCTGGCTTGGATAGATAAAGTCTTCTTCCGGGGGAAGCAATAGGAATTCCATGCTGAGTAGCTAGCTTCAGTTGGGAACTGATGATGAAAGATCACTGCAAACATAAAGGCAAAGGTAGACTTGACACAGGGAAGACAAGCCTATCTGCCCTTTAAAACAAACAAACAAATAGCAGTTGTGTATTCTAGTGCTGGAGAATGGAACATGTATCTGCCAAATGAAAGAAAGAAAATAAATACTAAAATATCTGGAAATGGGGATGGATTGATTTATTGAGGACAATAGTCTCCTTTGCATTTTCTTTAGTTATGAGGATACTGTATCTAATGAAAAACATAACTTTCCACTAATGGCACTACTATTTCCTCCCAGAAGTGGGACTGGAGCAGTCAATAATGACCTTTTGGAAACTAGTAATAATCTAGGTATTCCAGTGAGACTTTAGAGACTGATCAGCAATACTCTGTTTACGGCTTTGCTTTATTATTACATTTTATTAAAGATGATTTGCCTATTGTTGCTTTGTTGGTTAATTGGATTCCATTGGCATGTGCCATGAAAATTTTAATTTTTATTGTATGTTTGCTCTCCTCTGGGAGATTTGAAGGACTTGGTAGCATATAAATCAAATCAAGCAAGCAATCATAATCACATTGTCACAAAAATCTTGACCTTTTCTCCTTTTCTTTATTGCAAAAAGAAACTTCAGAAGTACTAACTGGGTGTGTGTATGTGACAATTATTCTTATTGTCAAGACAATTATTCTTATTCTTACAATTAAGATATTGTAAGAATTACAATATCTTAATTGCTTTATTAAGGATCAGATATAAAAATCTTATAGCTTGTTCCTATAACTGTTTCTGTTATTTCTGATATAAAACAAATTGAAACATTCAGTTATAACTTGTTAATTGCATCTGTTCAAATTCTGTTCACTGGGCAGTTGGTATTGATAATGGCAAAATAATGGCAATTTCTTAAGAAAGAAAACCAGCATATTGATCATCATATCTATATTTCCTTTATGTCAAATATGGGAACATCATAAATGGAGACGAAATGGATTCTATATTTGTAAAGGAACCACAAATATCTGGCCAGCAGTGGAAATTTCCTTAAATTCTATATTAAACATGGGAAGAGAACAAATATAATGCATAATTCTGAGAATGAGAGTCTTCACATGAATGTTTGTACCATTAGAAGAATTCCAAATCAAATATTTTATGAATAGTTCAACATTAGAATTAGACTTTTGTCTATCCAGCCTTTATATCCTTTGTAATATTTTGACTGATTAAATCTGAGTAGACAATGCTCCCTTCTGGTCATGTAAAGGATAAAAAAAAAGAAAGAAACATGTATAACAGGATGATGAATCTTCCATCTTTAATTTGAAAATATGTGGTGAATGCATTTATAAACCACTCCAAAATAAAACACAGTATAAACTATGTTGCCTAACAGACAGGAATTTCTATATAATTAGTATAATATTATTAGTATAATATTTAAAGAAGTAAGGACTTAAAAAGCTTCAAATAGATATTTGTTAGTCCTCCTAAAGACAATTATTTCTATTCTTTTTAAAAATATTGCAGAGTTTAAGGACATTCACACAGTGGTGCATTAAATACTGATATATTTAACACAATTCGAAGCACACTTGTAATTCATTTCATTATAAATTCACGTACATAGAAATATAAGTCTCCAGGGGTATTGAAGTAGAGAATCTTTCAACTGACATGAAGTTTAGATAAAAGAAATTTAATTGGAAACTGAAGCATCACCAAAAAGAAGACAAGAGAGAACACAATCATGAAAGGAAAGAAAATGCAGCCCCGATTTTCTTAGAGTTCCTTTTGCTGGTTAGGAGTAAGAACACCACTTCTACTCTGTTTTCTACTTAGAACATAGAATAATAAGGTTAGAAGGGATCTTGGAGGTCTTCTAGTTGAACCCGTCTATGGTAGGAGAGCCTAATTAAAATAACTTAAAATAAAGCAATAGGAATGACTAATATAACTTTGTGACTCTTCAGATAAAAATGATGTGTATTATGGTGGCCCACCAAACTGCTCAGTGAACATTCTGGCAGACACATTATTTAGTTCACAAGTTGTGTAGGGCAGCAATTACTCCAAACAGGAAAGAGCAATATTGAGGCCAGGGGTTTATTTCAAGCATTATCTCACAGACTAGAGTTAATACAATTGACAACACCTCCTTAGAAGTTTACATCTCTCTCTTTACTAAGCAAGATTCTATCTGATGCTAAACAGTATAGAGGGACTGACTTCCCCAGATGTGGAGGATAAAGGAGTCTGGAACCAATCACAGGTTTGAAGTGAATGGTGTGTGGTGCGTACTTCCCCCTTGATACCTAAGCAGCTCCTAAATCCTGCCATTCTTCCAATTAGCAGATGACAAGAAACAGACATCCTCCTGCCTCTCTTGTGTCTGGTGGCAGATGGACCAAGCCACTAAAATCTGCGGCAGCAAAACTTTCATCTGTTTTATTTGAAATGAGCTGTATTAGTGTTCACACTATATTGTTCTAAGAAAGGAGAGAGAAAGAGAGAGAGAGAGAGGAGGGTCATCAGGAATAAAACTCTGCATAATTATGAAATAGAAAAGAAACAGTCTATAAATTGTATGAACGTGCAAAATATTGTAAATAGTCGTTTAAAAACCATTAACAGATTATATTCAGGTGTGGAAATCCTGTATTTATTTTAGATACCAGAGAGTGTGGGAAAGCACAGATTCAGGGATGGGGGTTCTCATGGAATTGGTTCCTCCTATGCAATTCTTAATTTAAGATTCCTGTGAATGGGTTTTGTCTGGATAGGTTGTTAATGGAATAGGTGGGCAAGATATATAACTTGTCAATACTGGCAAAATGCCCAGTGCCTTCTTTTCCCAATGAGATGAGCTTTAATATATATATAAGGTATATATATATACCAGTGGTGAAATCCAATTTTTTTTACTACTGGTTCTGTGGGTGTGGCTTGGTGGGCATGGTGAGGCTTGGTGGGTGTGGCTTGGTGGGCATGGCAGGGGAAGGATACTGCAAAATCTCCATTCCCATCCCACTCCTAGGGGAAGGATACTGCAAAATCCCCATTCCCTCCCCACTCCTGGGGGAAGAATACTGCAAAATCCCCATTCCCTCCCCACTCCTGGGGGAAGGATACTGCAAAATCTCCATTCCCACTCCATTCTGGGGCCAGCCAGAGGTGGTATTTGCTGGTTCTCCGAACTACTCAAAATTTCCGCTACCGGTTCTCCAGAACATGCATAACCTGCTGAATTTCACCCCTTTTGAAAAATAGATGTTTGAAAATAAAGACCCCCAAATTCAAGGACGTGCAAGGGAGTTTAAAAGTTGTGTGAAACCGAATAAGATTTTTCATAATAAATAAATTCCACATTCTTGGAGGGGCTGCTTTTATTCTCATTTTCCTTTGCTAAATATCAGTCATGCTGGGGTGGATAGCAGTTTCCAATAAAAATCTTAACCATGAGACATTAAAAATAGTTAAAATATGAAGGCTATTGCTTAACACCTTGTAAGCCGCCCTGAGTCTCCGGAGAAGGGCGGCATATAAATCAAAATAAATAAATAAATAAATAAATAAGAATTGAAAATAAAGGAATTAATGGTTTAAACTTGCAGCTGAATACCTACACAAAAGGATAAGTTTTAAGGGCTTTTTTAAAAAAAACCTGTAAAAAATGTCAGGATCTTCAGCAGAGAAGGCTGATACCAACTCACTGCCAGATGTGCTTGAAGACAATATAAGTGAATCTCATCAGATGATCTCAATAAACATTAGAGCAGAGGTCTTCAAACTTGGCAGCTTTAAGACTTGTGAACTTCAACTCCCAGAATTCTCTAGTTAGCTAGGGAGAATTCTCCAGCTATGCTGGCTGGAGAATTCTGGGAGTTGAAGTCCACAAGTCTTAAAGCTGCCAAGTTTGAAGACCTCTGCATTAGAGGATCATATACAAAGAGCTGGATTTTTTCCCCCTAAATAACCTGGACATAAGCCATACAGGGCTTTAAAGATAAGGACAGCATTTTGTATTTGGCTCAGAAATGAATTGGAAACCAGGGCAGTCCTTTAACCACAGGTGTAATACGATCTTTCTACATTCTTCCCAACAATAAACTGGCTGCCAAGTTTTGTACCAACTAAAGTTTTTGAACTAAACACCTAGGCAGCTTCACAAAGAAGATATTACAGGTAGTCCTCAACTTACAACCACAATTGAGACCGGAATAGCCATCATATGTTGTTGTGGTTGTAAGTAAACTCGGACCTGATTTTACGACATTTTTTGTGAATCAAGAGGTTCTTAACGAAATCACAGACCCTATACCAATTCAGCCAAAGGGATGTCTAGTCTCTTCTTAAAAGCCTCCAGTGTTCTTCCAGTTGACAAGCCCTGCTTCTTAGCCACTGGGCTGCCATGCCCCCTATAGGACCCCAAATAATGAAATTAACAATAAAAATAAATATCCAGTTATCTGCTCCATAACTGGGTAATCAAGGGCCTAGAAATAACAGGAGTCAATTGAAGTTTCAGTATTTCCTGATATTCTCCCCTCCCTCCCTCCCTCCCTCCCTCCCTCCCTCCCTCCCTCCCCCTTCCTTCCTTCCTTCCTTCCTTCCTTCCTTCCTTCCTTCCTTCCTTCCTTTCCATTCAATTGTGTCTGATTTTCAGACAAGTCCCTGCAGTTTTCTTGGTAAGGTTTTTCAGAAATGGTTTGCCATTAGTGCGGGGAGATACGACCGGAAGCATCGCAGCAAGACAGTCAGGGACTAGTGGGCTCTGATGAGTCCTGTGAAATTCCGGGCTGACGAACCACTGCAGAGGGGTCTTTGGACCAGATCTGTCCTGCAGGGACAGAGAAGAAAGAGAGGCACCTCGGAAGACTGAGAGGAACAGGCAAGTTCCTTGAAGGTCAGAGGAAATTCTCTCTGACTCTGCAGCGGGGAACGGCGGCCATTGCAATCACCAGCAAGCTGGGGCAACCGGATTAAGAGATGTGCAGGAGCAGAGAACTGAGCAGAATA